AGATGTGCAATTAATGTTGTTGCCAAATTTAATTGTTCTGTAACGAGGGATTAGATGAGGAGAATCAAGACTTGGATCGTTTATTATCCTGCTAAAAGGTTGTTGCATGAGACTGATGTCTATTCTACATAGACAGGATGGATATGTGTTTTGAAATGTGCATGTACGTGAGTGAAGCCATTAATTATTTGATGGGATTTTATGATCAAATATGGCCACAAGGATTTATAGGCTAACCAACTGATTCATAATAATGACCATTGTCAGGGGTTATGTCAACGGTTGTTATGCCCAACAAAATGTGTTTTTCTGATCATTGCTGGTTGTACTTGTCTTCCTGGGTCAATTTCAGGACATTCAGGTTTGTCAGTCTTCATGTTCAAATGTTGATCCTCAATTTAGTTAGCACCGATTTAGAGTGCCAGATGTGAGTACTGAGATTAGTAGACACAGATAACATCAATTTGGTGTGCTGGCGCCAATTCTTACGAAACCTTTTGACTGCTAATTTTTTTTAGAACTCTTATTGCTTTTGTTGTTGTGCCTAACGAGAAGAATGTGAGGTTAGGGAACTATTAATTGGTTTGATTCTATGCTTTTTAGGTTGCTCATGGTTCTAATGTAATACTGCACTGGAATGAAGTTTCGTAGTATGTATAAACTGATGCCCGCTTATCATATTCCCTCTAGGAAACTTAGCCGGTGAACTCTCCTCATGACCTAGGGATGCATTGAAATGGCATAACTGACTGCTTGTGGTTCATCTTATGTTTCCTATTCCAAGTTATAGACCTCTTCTAATGATTTGTTTCACTTTTTTATTCAGTTTCCCATTCTCAATTTTCAAGTTCAGCTGCTTCTCAATGGTATGTCATGTCACTCCATGTATTTAATGTGTTTTTAATATCAACCCATCTATTGGTAATTAGAAATTGTCTACTGTCTTGGCTAAAATGAAGCTTAATGTCACTTACAAGTAGATGCATAACCAGAAGGTGATCTTACATCTCAAAAAAAAAAATACAAATTGACAGTGGCAAGAAGGCAGCTGTAGAAGTTGCAGCTCCATCAGCTCAAAAGGTCGCGTATTAAAGAACAAAAGGAAAAAAGAAACCGAGTTGGCTGCATAATTCTTCAATTGAGCTGATTCCATATGTATGTATAGAGCTTATAGATATACAAGCGATGTTGTCATTTCGTTATTCACGGAACTAATATAAACCACCACAAGTCTAATTTGCATAATTCTTCAATTGAAATTGCCCCAGTCCCCTCACCATATTACCTAAGTGAAACTATTTCTAATGAAATTGATCATAGGTAAATTATTTTAATTAATTAATATATAAAAACATAGATTTGATTTACTATTCATTAGTGGCTCTCACACTCCTCCAAGTGAAAGTATGGAAGTTCAAAATCCTTCTTTTACCCCACTCTCCATTCTACTACGTTTGTGTTTAGTTATTGTTAACTAGGTTTTCGTCTATGGTTGTTTGCACAAATTATCGCACTTGTGTTTTGTTATTGTTCACTAGGTTTTCGTCTATGGCTTTTTGCACATCTCATCGCCTTTGTGTTATCATCGCTTTTGTAGTAGTTATTGTTCATTAGGTTTTCGTCTATAACTTTTTGCACAAATCATTGCCTTTGCTCACCATTTTGCAGCCCATCTCGAAACACTGTGGCGGGATCTTAAGTTGTTCCCCATTAATTATTATAATAATAATAATAATAATATATTAAAGCCTATGTTTGAGTTACTATTCATTAGTGGCTCTCACACTCCTCCAAGTGCAAGTGGGTAAGTTCAAAATCCTTCTTTTACCCCACTCTTCATTCTACAACCTTTGTGTTTAGTTATTGTTCGCTATGTTTTCGTCTATGGTTTTTTGCACAAATCATCGCATTTGTGTTTTGTTAGTGGCTCTCACACTCCTCCAAGTGCAAGTGGGGAAGTTCCAAATCCTTCTTTTACCTCACTCTTCATTTTACAACCTTCGTGTTTAGCTATTGTTCGCTAGGTTTTCGTCTATGGTTTTTTGAACAAATCATCGCATTTGTGTTTTGTTATTGTTCGCTAGGTTTTCGTCTATGGATTTTTGCACAAATCATCGTCTTTGTGTTATCATCACCTTTGTAGTTAGTTATTGTTCACTAGGTTTTCGTCTATAACTTTTTGCACAAATCATCGGCTTTGCTCACCATTTTGCAGCCCATCTCGAAATACTGTCGGCGGGATCCTAAGTTGTTCCCCACCACCGTTTTCTAAGGTAGCTATCCGCTACCACGAGTTTCTTATCGGGACTTAGTTTCATCCTCTTTAGTGTTTTTTTCTTTCTTTTCTTCATTTTTGTTGAGTAACGTAACCTAAACACATGGGTATCCTACCTTGGACGTAAATCATCGCCTTTGGCCATCATTTTGCAGACCATCTCGAAATACAGTTGGCAAAATCCTAAGTTGTTCCCCACCACCGTTTTCCAAAGCCGCTACCACGAGTTTTGTATCTGGACCGAGTTTCACCCTCTTTAATGTTTTTTTTTTCATTTTCATTTTCTTTTCCTTTTTGTTGAGCATGATCACAATTGAACCCAAACACATGGGTATTCTAATTTCAACACAAATTATTGCCTTTGCCACCATTTAACAGCCCATCTCAAAATTGTCAGTGGAATCCTAAGTTGTTCCCCACCATCATTTCCCAAGGCCGCTACTACGAGTTTTATATCGAGACCGAGTTTCAATCTCTTTAGTATTTTTTTTCTTTCTCTTTTTCCTTTTTGTTCAGCATGATCACAATTGAACTCAATGCCACTACCGAAAATCCATACCATATTTACTCAATATTGGCGAGTTTTGTATGATGACCGAGTTTTGTTCGCTTTAGTGTTGATTTCTTTCACTTTTTCTTTTTTGCTGAGCATGATCACAATTGAACCCAAATCCATGGGTATCCAACATAATTCGATCCGGTCAAAGCGACTTGAAACATACTTTAGCATTTATAAATTTCTCTTTTTTTCTTCTTTCGGTAGAGAAGACAATTGAACCCTAATCTAAGGTTTTGACGAGTGTTATATTGTGAGTGAGTTTTATCCGCTTTTGTAGTTGGCAGGTTGGACCAAGTGTTAATTTGTTAAAAAAAATTCAAAGCGAGTTGAACACATTGTTGACCAGTTTTAGATCGAAAACGAGTTTTGTACGCTTTAATGTTTTTTTTATTTCTCATTTTCCTTTTCGTTGAGAATGACAATTGAACTTTGACCCATTGTTGACGTGTTTCATATCGAGAGCGAGTTTTATCTGCTTTTGTAATTGACAGGTTGAGTAAATTGCGAATTTGTTAAAACTGGGTCGACCCGGTCAAAGCGAGTTGAACGCAGTGTTGAGAGTTTGGGGTCATGAGCGAGTTCTATCCGTTTTGGTTAAGAATGACAATTGAGTCCAAACGCATGGGTATAAAACCTACTTCGACCTGACCAAAGAGACTTGAGCCCGATTTTACAAGTTTTCGGCGGGATCGAGTTTTATCTGTTTTTGTAATTGGCGTGTTGTGTCAGGTGTGAATTTGTCCAAAACTTGGTCCAACCAGGTCAAAGCGAGTTGAACTTGGTGTTGACGAGTTTTGAGTCGGTAGCGAGTTTTAGCTTTAGTGTTTTTCGTTCCCCTTTTAGAAGTTTTATGTTTCAAAAATTGAAGTCAAGCCAAGCACCACTAAAGTTTTGCTTTTTAAAAAACTGAAGTTTTTCGTAACTTAAAAACAAAAGCTCCGATTTGAAAATATAAAATTGTCATTACCATATATTATTCTTTTTCTAGAATAGTATTATTTAATATGAAAAATAGTATTATTTAATATGAAAAATAGTATTATTTAATATGAAATAAATCTAAAGTGCTCCATTTTAAATACTTTTTTATTTTTGGAATTTGTATTCATATTGTATGTTAGAAATCTTTTTTAGTCCTTTTTCATGACCTCTATATTAAAAAGTAATTCTGATAGCTTTTCAGCTAAACATTCAACAGTTTTTTTTTTTAACTTTTGAAAAGATCCAGAGAAGCCATTTCATTCTGCAAAAGTTACAGCAGGATCCATTGCTAGCCATTTAAATTGTAGCGTCATAAAAGAAGTTTAAACATAAATAATCTATTTGATGACCCTTCTACCTTATGCAAGTTCATCGACCATATGCTATTGTAAATAACAAACCTATAAAAAGAATGATTAAGAATGAAATAAGATTACTTTTACTTTTATTTTTGGGTCAACATTAAACTATTACTATTTAAAATATTTATTTTTCTAATACGCGAAGCGATAGGGAGCAGGCTTTTGCTAGTACTATATATTTGACAGTAGGCAACCTTTAAATAGCTCTTGAAATAACACATTTTTTTGACAAACGGAGGGTTCACAGGAAATTTTGCACTTTATGCGTTCATGTTATTTTCTCATATAATTTGGTTAACGCGAAGCGTAGCGACTAGCGAGCCTGCTAGTATAATATAATATAAGAATGGCCCAGGTGATATGCTCAATGGCCTCCCCGGCACACCTATTGCCTATTGGTCGTCCCTGAGTTAACCATAATAATTTTATTATGATAATCCAATCCCAAGATCCATGAGGGTGGAAGAAAGAGGGTAATTCACTAACTGACTCGCCTTGTTTTTTCCAAAAAAAAAAAAAAAAAAAAACCATCCCTACCCGCAGTGTCGTAACACACATCCGTTGTGAGATTCTAACAGTTAATTTCATCCTAAGAGTTCAGTTTCCCGCCGTAACTATGTACTTTGTTATTAGTGACAAATTTAGGCCTATAGGGATACAAACATAGAAGGAAAACGTGTATCGTCCTAAGCCGGTAAGCTCGAGACTTTTGACCTCGTCTTTCATACCCAATTAAGACAAAACTAACCCAGTTTATACATTGTTTGTACCCAAATTACCAACTTTCCTCCCTCTATATAAACGACTCCATTGACGACCTCCTAGTCCCACAACAGTCAAATCCAATACCAACATCTCGCCACCAACCATCAATCGCCTCTTTCTTCCCCAAATTTTCAGAATGGCATATGATCATCATTATGCCGTCTTCACGAGCTTCATAGCTCTAGCTCTCAGCGCATGTACTCTCACATTAGCCATGGATGCTCTTCAGGATTTCTGCGTGGCCGATCTCAAGGGCTCTCCAACCATCAACGGGTTCGCCTGCAAGGATCCCAAAACTGTCCAAGCAAGCGATTTCTCCTTCGGTGGCCTCCACATTCCTGGCAACACCTCCAACGCATTTGGCTCTAAAGTCACTCCCGCATTCGTGACCCAGATTCCCGGACTCAACACGTTCGGAATCTCGATGGCTCGTGTGGATTACGCTCGTGGAGGGATCAACCCACCCCACACGCACCCTCGAGCCACCGAGATTCTCACGGTCATTAAGGGCACGCTCGAGGTTGGTTTCGTGACGTCGAATCCTGACAATCGCCTCATTTCGAAAGTCCTTCGCAAAGGTGATGTGTTCGTCTTCCCGATCGGGCTGGTTCACTACCAGCGCAACACTGGGCATCGAAATGCGGTGGCTATTGCTGCGTTGAGCAGCCAGAACCCGGGGGTTATTACTGTTGCTAATGCGGTTTTCGGATCCAAGCCTGACATTCCTACTGATGTGCTTGCCAAGGCGTTCCAAGTTGATAGGAGTGTTGTGCAGAAACTTCAGGCCAAGTTCTGAGGCGTTTACGGTGAAACAGATATATGATCGATTCAGAGACTGAACCATATGACGATCAGTTCAATGTTTTCTTGTTTTGGCGATATAAATTGGTGGATTTATCAAATTTTTTTATGAATTTTGCTGCTATACGCAAGTTGGATCAGTGATGGATTTAACATTGTATCGCTTACCAGTATTTGTTAAAAAGGTAACTTAATTTGCAAGTTTGAGGGCTAAATTGGTACAATAGAAGAGCTGTGGCTACAAGAGTTTCTTATCATTGATGAACAAACTTAATTATAGAACAGATCGGCCACTCAAATAATTATTATTATTCTAAAAAAAACAGTAATGTTTTATAAGATGAGATGGGTAGAAACCAGAACAACATCATAGTGACCCCAAAACAGAGGCAGGCCTTCAGCCTCAGGATAAAAATCAATAGCTTCTCTGAATGGTCTGAACCAGATAGCTGCTCGCTCTTCTATTGCCCACTAACATTCAGCCCGAAGCTTCTCTTAAAAGTGGTCTTCCTTGTTTTGTTCATACAGATTCAGGCAAAGCAAACGAGCTGATGAAGTGTCGTGGTGGCAGATGCATTGCTGCTGCCAACAGCACTTTCTGGTATGTACAAGAACAACCCCGAAAAGATATGGTTGTTTGGGGAACGTGGAGATCCTGATAATGCCAGCGCTTTTCTTCGTCAAGTTTTCAGCCTAACCTTAAGGATGAGGTGCACTTCTCTCTTGAATATTGACTTCAGCTCTTCGTTAGCTTCTATACCTATTCTCCTGTGAAGGACAAACCGATTCGACACATCAGAATAAATGGAAATTGCTCCTATATCAAACACACCCTAGATAAGCTGTGATTATGCTAGAAAATGAGACAAAAGCTGACTCTTCAAGATTTAGAGAGATTCTGGTTAGCAAACAAGTACCCTATTTTGCAACCACCCTTGCCAACGAGAATCTTCCGCTGGCTTAATTTGTTTGTGATAAAGTGCTGCTCTATCCTGAGTGACCCATCCCTCAGTTCCTTCCAGTCCATCAACCGATGTTCGATACTATATGGGATTTCCTGAAATGAAAGCAGGATGGATTCAGTGGTACCCAGCACAAGCAATCCTTGGGAGAATAACAACAATTGTTTGTCAATTAGGAACATTTAGAGTTTTACCTGATGAACATGGTCTAATAATCTTTCCCGGACAACTTCTAATGACACGTTCTTCATCACTTCTTCACCCAACTCAAGAGGATCTTCATCCCAGGGTCTTTTAATTGCCTAAGCACGCACATAAAAAGGTTCCGAAATCAGGACCAACAGAATTATTATTCAAATAAGCATGCAGGTAGCAATGAAATTATGGGAAGTGGGCACATTAAGGAAGCAAGAGTTGAAGACTATTAATTTATGAAAACCTTTCTTTATCTATGCATCACTGCAATGCTTTGCAAAAAAAAAAAAAAAAAAAAAAAAAACAGTATTGTTTTCATGAATGATCTGGAAAACTATTACTGAAATAGTAGCCCTGAATTCAGTTTTTGGTAATGCTCGGCACCAATATCCAAAAAAACAACCTTGTAGTTCATCCATCTAACACCTAGGCAAAAATTTCAACAAGGATTCAGGAAAGAAAACAATAAAAATTCACTCGGCGAAACAAACAGGGTCATCGGATATGGGAACTAATTAATAACTAGGAAGCATTTAAAACTCACATCATTATTAATTTTTCTGTTTATATTTTATTATGTAAATGCAACTTGCATTCAGATTGAAGGAACTGGAAACAACACGATCATCCGAGTGGAAAGCTTTAATTTGAATAAGACCATCAATAGCAAGTTCCAGAAGTAAAGAAAATGAATCACAATGGACAAAGTTACTAGCACCTAATTGCATAAAGCTTAATGAAACATGCCTGTGTCGTCAAATACTGTGTAAGATCTTTTACTCCAACACCCTTTAGCCCGGATATCAGGAACTGCCTAAACAACAGAATTGGAGAAATCATCAGACACAATTCTAGCATGGTATAAAGGTACATCGGAATTCAAGAATTCCCTTACCTGTCGTAGCCAGGTAGATCTTTGAATTGTTCTATGACCTGTACCAACTCTTTCTTCTTTTCAACTAGGTCAACCTTATTCATGCATAATACCCTTTTCTGCTTTGCATCTTCCTGTTCTCCCAACTTTTTAATCAGCCTTATCACCCTCGAATCGGGCCTGATACAAACAGAGAAACACAAGAATCAGAAAATTTACTTCCCTCGGGTAAAAGAAGAAGGACCATTCAATCAAGGGTTTCAAACTATTGCGTGGAAAACAGACCAAAGCTCTGTATTTCTTTCATGCCCCCTATTACTTAAAAGTGATATAGCTCCAACCAACTGAATATACAGTCGAGGTTAAGTCAATAGATACTAACCTGGTCAGGTGCCTGTGAACGTCAAAAATAACTATGAGGACATCATACAGCCCAATTGTGCTCCAAGCATTTTCCACCCGTGTCTTCACATCTTTGTAAGCATACCCACGACTATTTAGCATGAGACCAGGAGTGTCGAAGAAACACTGGATGCAGAAATCATCCGCCATGATCAGATAATAATAACCATAGCAATGCAAAGGACAAGGGGATTGCTTTTAGATTCATCATAAATAATAAGTTAATAATGAACATGGCAATGCAAAGGACAAGGGATTGCTTTTATATAAACTTCTTAGCAGAGCTTGAAACCATTATCTTTCAAGGTGAAATGAATGGTGACTTTTCATTTTGCTATTAAGTAATCACGCCTTCCAGTTAAGCGGATAAATTTGTAGTTTCCTTACACTGACAGTGCCATTACCTCATATGCTGGGATAACAGTAGACAGAAAACATACTCAAGCTACTACCAACCAAAATTCGTTTCAAAGGCATACAGAGAAAGATGGATGCTGAAGTTAGTTGAGATGAAAAAAGTCTACAGTTGATACGGAAAATGTTAACCAGTGAGAGAGGCTGATTTCTGTTTATGTAGGCTGGTAAAATAACAGCGTAATTTGTATAACTACCAAGTAATGGTGCATATATAAACCAATAGAACAGGACTTCTAACATAAGGTTTGAAGACATAGTTCCACGGACATATGCCAGGAAACAAGACAATTATTATCCATACCATATAATGTGAATAAAAAGGCAATGAAAGGACGAGAATTGCCGCAACTCAGTAAATGGAAAAAGAAACATACGATCTGGGTATCTCCTTCCGTCATTACCCCCAGTACTTCATGAATAGTGGTATTCGTTTTTCGCGACACAGCAGAAACCTTTGTTCCCACCTACATAGCATAATAAAGCAGCAGTGAGAATGGCAAGAATTTCCAGAATATAAAGCTCGCGCCAAAACAGGACGAGCAAGCTAACTTATAAATCACAATCAGAAGTAACTTGCAGCAACTGCGTTGAATTGTAACTTATCAGGGAACCAAGTTGGGTATAACCACTAAAGAGCACACAATTTCACCCATAGATCCTATGCTAGACCAGTGTCATAGTAGTCTCAACTAAACCTTCCTTAAACCCTCAAGAGCAAAACTACTCTGCCGACTCTAATTTCACAAAACTACATATTTCCCCATTTTGAGACTAACCCAACAATACATTGTAAACGAGTAGCGGAATACAAACCATGTAATTCGTTAAGGACGATTTCCCAGCATTAGGAGCACCAATAATCCCGACAGAAAGAGACTTCTGGTCTTCTTCCCTCACCAATTCCTCCTCTTCGTCATCTCCCTTAAGTGCAGCCTCGAGCAAGGCTCTGGCCAGCACTCTCCTCTTCAAATCGTCCTCCTCCTCGTGAAGCGCTGTCTTCAGCTTACTTTTCTGGGTTTCTTCCCCAAATATAAATTTATCGGCTTTCTCTCTGTACTTCACATCCCAGGTGGGTTCTAGGAGGGTTTTAGAAGAAGAAGTAGCAGAGGCATCAGAATCAATGGCGGGAATCGCGTAGTGGCTGCTATCGAAGGCGTCGTTGTCACTACTGTCTTGGTGTTGCGGGTGAGCTGTGAAACAGCGGGCGAGGCGAGTTGGGTTTTGCGGCAAGGTATTGGAAGGTCGCCCAGCGAGCGATGCCAAGACTCTGAGAACTATGAGAGATTTCATTCTCTGGAACTTCGTCGGGTTTAGCAGAAAACCATCTACCGCTTCGCTGGAGCAGAAGGGAAATGAGCACTCCGTCGCTTGTCGGATACAGAGGAGCTAACAAGTTTTTAACACCATTCCGTCCCGTGATATCAGGGGAGCAAGAAGAGAAGATTAGGGTTACAGAGAGACAGACGAGTAAGAGTAACAACGAAAAGTTAAGAGGAGAACCGGGCGGGCAGACCAGTAACACATCGACCCCGTCAACATTCGGTTTGACCATGTTAAAACTCTTCGTACAGGCCATTGATTCTTTTTTACCGTCCCACGGTGGCACAAACCATAGGTTTAGACGTTTAGTAGTGTCAATCATCTGGGTTTGGATTTGATTCAACCGCATTGGTGTTATAATCAAAATTGTGAAATCATACCAAATATTATATTGGAAAAATCAGTGGTAAGGTATTTTGTATTAAAATTGTAGGCCTAACACTGATTATAATTCATCTGAATTACGAGTTCATCAAATTGCAAGATAATTAAGAGTTAATCCACTATCAAACAAAGTTAGGGAGTGATCTGAGTTGTGAGTTATTTGAAGTCAACCCCGTCAATCAAATTACTTACTACCCATGATCTTATTGGAAGACTATGATACAAACAAAATTCCGACCCCTGAGTGTAGGTTCAACCCAAAAATATGGTCGGTTTGTATAGATGGTTAATACGAGAACCAAATAAGAAAGCTGGCAGCCTGGCACATTACAAAGTCGGCAGTCTGCACTACTTACAAATCACTATACTGGCCAGGTTCACTGAATCTCACAAGTCACAACCCAAATGCCTCTCTTCCCTTTATTTCCAAACCATGTCTTTAACTCCTTTCCAAGAAGGCACAGAAGACCGAAGCCCTCATCTTCCCATCTCTAAAACTCTGGCCATGGTTCACCATTGCTCATAAGCTAGATGGCTCATATTCAAAGGATACACAAACCAAGAAAATTGTCAGCAGCTATGGAGCTTCTTGTCATTCGAATTCCTCTTCAAGTCACCCATTCTGATTTAGAGTCAGAGATGTTGGCCCTTTTCGACGACTATGGCGGTGACTGATGATCAAGCTTTGATGATATGATATGGGCTCAGCCTGCTGGGTTGAAGGCTCTCAAAATTGAGTTCCCCCAACCAAAAACTTCAGTATTCTAATGCTTATTTTACTTTCACTCTCTTCATCTATTTCCCTTTCAGAGAGATTTGAGTTAATAATTTTGTTGGGTTCGAGTGTTTGAGCGATTTGGATGCTTGACTGCCCATTCTGTCAATGAGTTCATGGTTCTTGCTACCACCTTGCTCAATGCTCATGCCTGTTTGGGAGTACTATTATATAATAACTAGGTGGAATAGGCCGCACTTTGTTGCGGCTTCCGATTTTTAATCTTGTGTTGAAGGGAAAAAATCAAAGTGATTAATCATGTTTAACTTGTTGGTCAGGTTGATTAAGTTTGATTAAGTGTGTTGAGAGTTAATGATCGGATTGTTTTAGTATGATTTAATTTTGATATATGAAAAAAGTTATTATATATTCATAAATTATATCAAATCTCATTTAACATATGAATACTAACATATAAATTACTCACTTGATAAGGATCAAGCAGATGGACCTGTGTTGACAACTTTGAGAAGAATTAAGCGTAAATATATAAGAAAATTAATTTCATTCCCAATCCTTCCTTTACAATCCTATATGGACGTTCCCGGTGGGACTCAAGGAAGGGCCTCTTGGTAATTGCGGAGGAAGCTCTTTTATTTTTCTCCCTCCGAGACTCAAGGAAGGGCCTCTTGGTAATTGTGGAGGAAGCTTCTTTTTTTTTTTTTTGCCATGCAATCTCACTTTTGTTACTTTTTTTTTTTTTTTTTGCAAAGTCAATGTTGAAAAGATAGTCACAAGAGAAAGAAAGAAAAGTGCGGGAGTCAACTAATAGTCGAACTCACGATGAGAGGGCCTTTTGCGCCACATGATGGGCAGCCCTATTTAGTCGACGAAAAACAAAGCAGTAAGAAATCCAGCTGAAGTGAGAAGCTAAGCTCCGAGCATCCCCGGTAGAGCTCCATCCCGATCATGCGCCAAGTCGCCTCCCACCATCCCGCCGTATCAATTGTTGTGAATCCCCATGAAATTTGACAGAGACAAAGGAATGTGTCAGGCACCACTGTATGGCATCCAGTAAAACAAATGGATCTTGTAATCCTTCATAACACTTTCCGAAAGCAAAGAGAATATTACCTGACGATTGGAAACCCACAAAGCCGATACTACCTTCGTGACTATGCTTGACCACACCATCAAACTAAACATTAATAGAGTTCAAGGGGTTCCTTCAATATCAGGGGCGTCATTTCCAACTGCTCCATGAAATCTCATCAAAAGGCCACCTAGTGGACAAGACAGCCGCCACCGATCAACTATTGTGCAATTGAACCTTCACCTGCAAAATGAGCAAACAAAGGCCCCTAGGACAATCTAGGCCAAAGAGCCAACAAATCAACATAGACACAAGGCAGCATTTCGCCCTTGAAATAGAGAACCAGGTCATCGAGAAACCCTAGATAACCGGCACCTACCGTTAGAAACCTAAAGCTTTTTTTTTGTTAATAAAAGGAAACAACCTAAAATTCGGGGACATAAAAATTTGCAAGTATATAATATTAAAAAGAAGGCAATAGATACATACGAGAAAAAATAAAAAAGTTGGAAAGAAAAATATTAAACAAATAAAGAAAGAAGGATAATTATTAAGGGAAAGAAATAATAAATAATAATAAATAAATGATAAGGGAGTACTTATCTGAACCGTCAGCCAAGAAGCGTAACCGCCACCTCGTTCGTGATTGTAACCGACAATACCGCATTCACAAGAGACCGTCAGTCTGTCCTGTCTCCCTGACGGTTCGTCGATTGAGTCGGTGGCCCCTGCTCCCGGCTTATCGTTGTCGGCGGTCACAAGAAACTGTTCGACACACCGATTTCATTTCCTCCCGCCATCCCGTGCTCCGATCTCGTGGTACTCCGATCTCGTGGTCGCGTACTCAGTCATCTCCGCCGGCAGCTTTGATCCGACGAGGGCCGAATACCAGCCAATTAATCCCAGAGCTCCGAGCCGCAGAGATGGAGTTTTTTGCTCCGGAAACAGAGCTTCTCGCTCCAACCCCGCGAAAATCCCAAATTTACCGCCTCCACTGAAGCTGCACAACGATCTCGACCTCGAAACCATCTCGCCGCGCCCTTCGGCTTCGGCAGCATAGTAGCGGCGCAGATCGCACTAACAAAAGCCGCCACTGTCCCGACCCACCGCCGAACGCCGCGCGAATGGCCCGCTTCCCAGCGAGATTACCATCTGCGGCAAACAGATCGACAGATTCACCACCCCCAGCGAAAGCCCCTGCCCGGCCCCAGATCCGTGCGACTAGATCGACGCCATCACAAACAGAATATTGTACGTGACCGCCAACGACAGCCCCAAAACTCCGAACACCGCCAACGCCGCGCTCTTAATCCCCGCCGACGGCTCCACCACCACCACACTGTCGCGACTCCTCTTCTCTCTCACTTTTGTTACTTAACTTGCTTCCTCTTCTACCTACGTTTTGGCTAAAGCAGATTATGTATGGGTTTAGCCATAGTTTGTTACTTGGTTCCCCTAATTTCCCTTCAAATCCAACTAAAAGATATACGCAAATTCAAATCATAATGATCTATTAAAACATAGGGGTTGTTTGGAGAACAAGATTTGGATAATTGATTTATCAAATTCATAGATTTAGCAAAATGTTTTTTTTTTTTTTTTTGCTACTTTGTGAATCGTGGATTGTAGTTTCGGAGATTTTGAATCTCTAAAATCTAGAGATATCAAATCTCTCATAATTAGAGAGATTCTACATCTTTATTTTGGAGATTTTCTCCCTCCTGTTATATCTATTCTTTGTTTTTATTTATCGCACCAAATACTCTTATCAATAAATTCTCAATATTTTTCGAGCCAATCTAATCATTTTGGTTAAGGATAAACATGTCATCTAATACAAAAAATAGAATTTCTTTTTTCATTGGATGTTAACAATCGTGGTTACCAAACAATGAACATTTTCAAAAAAAAATCAAAAATCCGGAGAGTTAAAATCTTTGTATTGTCTAGAATCTATAGATTTAGACTCCAATTCAGATAACGAATTAATCGGACGATAAGCTAATTGGAATGTATAGAGTTTTAATACATAATCTAATTTACAAAACACACGGGTTTATCATGTGGGTTTCATGTCATTGTAAATTTAGTTTTAGTTACATGCAAAAAAAAAGTTCTAATTGTTTGAAGACTAACTTTCCAAGCCGACTCTAATTAAACATACGTGGTAGATCATATGCAACTAAACTACTGGTGAAAGAGGCTCGTATGCCACTATATGGGCAGCTTAGTGAAGACTTCAACAGGATACTGACTCAAAAACGATAAAAAGGGCGATCTTACTCTAAGGGCCCAACTCGAGAGTGAGAACATTTTTTATTGTTGTGTTTTAATTGTTAGTAGATTTGTTGGATATCATGTGAGATTCATGTCACGATAACTTTAAGTTATGGTTACATAAAATTTTAAAATTCTAACCATTTGTAGATTTTTTGGGTGGGATTGATAATTATTATTTATTCATTATTGAAAAACAAATCGAATTTAGAAATAATGTTATTCTCATGTATAATTGGGGTTGGGATAGATTAAAAATACTATCAATTTCAAAATTGTGAAGGTTACTTTATGGTGCAAGATATAGGTACACAGCTAATGTCATTCACGCAATTGGATAATAATCTTTACTTTCCCATTATTTTCAACTCATTTCTTTTTTCAGAAAAAATAAACATCATATCCACTAAACACAAAAAATATTTTACTAAATAGTGAATCTCATTTTTCATCAGTTAACATATTCAGAATCCGACTTATTATCGTAGAAAAAATGGCTAAGTCTAACTTGGTTGTTCTAGATCACATGGAAGTTAGAGGTTTCATAATGCATGCTGGGAAACTATTCCAAGCAAGTGACATAATGAGAAGAGCTCCACCTTTTTATCTCATACAAATTGAGGCAATGGAGTTGAAGGTTGAGATTAAACCAATCGATTACAAACATCGTGCATACTATTAGTGAGTATGTAGTTTTGAGCATAAGGAGGGGTAAATTTTACTTAGCTTGCACTAATAATATGTCATATTTGCAAAAATTTACTATCATATTTTTTCTTTCAATAAAAGAAGAAAAAAAGAATGACTTTGCTAATGCTGGAGTTAGTGTACTTGATGAGGGAGAGTATCTTGGCTACAATTTCAATTAATATAAAGGAGAATTAACCAAATTAAGGAGAGAAATAGAATACGGGAAAAGGAAGTATTAGACTAGATAGAGACTATGAGAACTCAGAGGAATTTGAAGAAAACTGATAAAGTTTTGAGGAGATGTAATACAAAATTAAGGTTTGGATGCAATAATGCTTAGATGGCTAAAAATATAAAAAATATATATTCAAAAATATTCTTACCCTCAATAATAATAAGTAATCCTTCATCAATCCATCCCTTTGAAAGATTCTTTCTCTCAACAATAAACGTGAATTTGTATAGAACTTCTTACTATACTTCAAGTTCAAGGCCCATGCATTATTTTATTTCACATTCACTCTATCTTTCGCTTTCGCAATGAACTCACTATGACAAAAGAAAGGTTCTCACTACACAATCTGAATGGAAGCTCATGACCGGTATGCCTTCTACTTCCATGCAGTCATCATCCCAAAAATATTCATAATAGAATTCTGAAACTTTAATAATTATCATTCAAATTCCAACGGGTCATCGAGGCCAGACAAAATTAAAGAGTGTTTAAAAGAAAATTTGAAATGATTTATAAGAAATAGTAAAATAAAGTGTAGGAAGATAAATTTTATAGGAGTTGGCTTCTCACCATTGCATAGGTGCAACTTTCACTTCCACAAAGGATTTTCATTGTTAAATGTTAGAATGTTGAAAATTTTTTATGATTCATGTTCCTTTGTGATATTTCAATAATTTAATCATTTGAATTTTATATGATACTAATAAAAATGTATATTACTTTGTACAATTGAGGTTGTTGTTTATATTGTTAACGAAATGCATCCGACCAACGGGCGGGACCAATGTCTAGTAAGAATATATGGACTTAAATGAAAATGCAAGAGATGTATCAAAGGAAAAATAATGTATATTTAATAATAAATTAATTGAGAACTTAATAATAAATAAATTATCTGTAAGGAATTTAACTCTTCTCTCGGTTACTTTCTCGTTTAGTGGTCGTGTAAAGCAACCAAAAAACAAACGAAATCCCTTCTAGAATCCTCTGTACACACGTTCCTCTGTTTTCTATCGCCCCTCTTCTCACTCTCTTCAATTTCCTATCTCTTTCTAATCAAATATCATTCTTCTTCCTCCCAGCCACTCCTCTCCTTACTGGTTTCTTTCAGTTTTCTTTCATAACTCTATAATTTCAATCTTCGTCTCGTTGATTTACCCATCTGGACATACATGGTTCAAAAGGGTCCGATGGATGGGTACAACTTAGGATTCCACCGAAAGTGTTTGGAGAAGGGTTGTGCATTATTGTGCGAATGCGAGGATTGTGTATAATAGATAAAGTATTGATCTTCGGTTGCATTCGTGGGTAATTGTTGCAACTGGTAAAACAATGAACAATAGATGAAAACTTAGTAGACAATTAAAGCCTATTATGAGAAACCTAATGCTCCAGTTGCCCGCAATAATTCAGCAGCTTGCTTGAGCTGTTAGCTTCCAACTCATTTCCATTTTTATTTGTGCGCAAAAGTAAGTATAAAAATGTATAAATTTCATGTTATCATAGATATCATGCATGTTTTAAATACTTGGAAGTTTCGAGTTGTATAATATCGGATTGTAAACGTTTGAATATTTTCAGATTTTTGTATATTAACCATGATTTGGAGGGATTTATATATATGTTGTATAAAAGGATGTTGGGTGTTACACTCCGCTCTGTCGGCTCCCCTTTCTTCCATCTGGGTCTCTGGCCTCTTCCCCGATATCCTTCATCTCAACTCATTATTCCTCTTCTCCGTTGAGATTTTTGGCAACGGATAAGCCGATAAGCAAAGAGAGTACTATCAACATGTTCGTTGAGATTTTATATGGTTAGCTAATAAAAGTATTTATGTAAAGTTTTCACAATTATATATTTTGTAATTTAGTTACAAAGGATAGTCTATGGTATAAACATTTACCAATAAGATCATGTGTCATATAGATATAGTGCATTCTAAATATATTGCAAGAACATCATCTCAACTTAAGACTATAGTCCTGCTTATTAGTCTTAATTATCTAACATATTTGCTTTTCACATAAATCCGTCGATCGAAGAGCACAACTCTCGTAACTAACTATTGAAAGTACTAGTAAATTCTAAACCATTGGGACCGTTGCTTTAACCAAGATAGATCATCTCGATCTCAGAGTTGCAACAAGCTCCTAGTCGAATAGTAGGCCGCTTGAAACCCCCAAATGTTATCGTGAAATGGGATCCAATTAATCGTAGTCAAGACCCGAACCATCCCCTTTAATCTCAACATGATCATCAATACCACTAATATTCAACTCCCGCCTCTCCGTATCCACCACTCCAAACCCTTTGTCCCTATTGGCGAACCACTTACCATGTTTCCAAAACCCGACAACAACAAGACAAGAAGGCGGAGGATCATCCAACCGAACATTGTATAACCAAATCCAAGAGCAATCACCCCTCCCAAGCGCCACATAATCTAGGGCTGCCCACACCTTGAAGAATGAGCAACCCCTCTCTTCTTCCATCCCATACAAAACGACAATCAACGACGATCCATCTCTACCCATATGAAATGAATTCTCGTGCATACAACAACGAAGATGCGCCCCTTTCGACATGGGCAGCCCTAGTACCGTGAATGCTTCCCTTCCCACGTCAAACGTAGTGAACTTGAGGGAATTAGTAGCATTATTATTGTTGGCGGCGCCGGCGCCGCCGGGTGTCCACCAGTGACATCTCTCAATTCTCGACGTGCAAGGGTGATAGCGAACCCTTGTTATGTACATGTGTGGAGCCCTTGGGAAGTTGTACTCGTCCTAGAATGCCGGTTATGTTCTTCATCACAATCATCAAGTCGCCTCCATAAACCATCGCCATCGTCGTCGTTCCTCAAGCTATCCACGAGGGTCGTTTGGAAGTTCCAATAATTTATAATTGTAATGCCTAGCAACTACCTTATACTTATAGTCATCCGTTACCGGATCGAACCCGAACCCGGTATTGTGCGCCTCGAAAGAAGAAGGGAGAAGGTAGCCGGGCGCCTTTGTTTCATAGTTCGAAGGATTCCATAGAGCAATTTCTTCTCCGCTACAATCGGGTATGCAAAATATCCCGTCCGAAAAACCCATGATGGACCAGTATCCAGATCCTGGTAGCGTACCCGAAGGGACGTGCCGGAGCGTGTCGTACGAGTGGACCAAAAACGACGTTGTCGTCGCACTCGAGTTAACTATGGAGGGAGGATGAGATATCAGAACTTGCCACCCGGCCTCTTGTTCCGCGTAAGAGGAGGAGAATAAGAAAAATGCACGAAAGAAGTCGGGATTGTATAGGAGGCGACACCATGATCTGCTGACGCAATGGAACCGAGCGACGGAGGCGGCATTACGCAGCCTCTGGACAAGATTTCCAACGATAGTTGTTTACCCATAAAAAATCAGTTTGTACCACATCGATTAATTACAAGGGGATTAATGGATATATAAGGCCAACTCAGCATTAATAATTAAAGAGCTAGCTGGGTTTGTTGGGTTGGGTTTTAGGGCTTAAGTGGCCAGGTTCCTCTATACGATGGTTGCCCGTCTCCGAGGCCCCTATAGCCGGACGATGCCTCCACCCCTTAGTATGAAATTTGGCCTACAAAAACTAAATTTTTGAAACAAGCCGACACAACGGGGTGCCAAACGACCGGGTACCAAGCCTGATACCAAATAAGGGGGCCAAACAAGAGAGTATCAAGCCGACAAGGCAGGCCTGATACCCAAGTAAGAAATTTGGCTAAGTATGGAAAACAAGGCAACACAACGGGGTGCCAAACCCGGGTACCAAGCCGGCATGACAGGCTTGGCAGCCAAGCAAGGCGACAGGGTACCATGACCCCAAGGGGTGCCAAATTGTCGGGTACCAAGCCGGCATGACAGGCTTGGCAGCCAAGCAAGGCGACAGGGTACCATGACCCCAAGGGGGTATCAAGCCGGCATGACTGACTTGGTGGCGAGGCAACAGGGGGCCAACCCAGGTACCAACTAAGAGAGTCGTACAGAAACTAAGTCTGGATATCAAGCCAACAAAACGGACTTGATAGCCAGACATCACAGTATCAAGCCAATAAGACAAGAAATTGGATCAACCAGGATGTCGAGCTCAGCCCTTATGAGGCCATATGGAGACAAAGTCCAAAGACGGGCTTGTTAGCACCTTCACGGGGTACCAAACCGGCAGGTTGCAACTTACCACTTGAAGAGGCTACAAAAACTAAGTATGGAGACCAAGCCACCAGGACTGGCTTGGTAACAAGGGGTGTCAAGTTGATTACATTGGCTTGGTGGCATGCCGGAAGGTATCAAGCCGATGAGACGGCTTGGTAACAACCAACAAGTTAATGAGGAGGACTTGGTGTCATGAGATGGTAGCGGTCTCAAGACGACAAGAGTGGGTAGTCATCATGCAGCCGAGGGTGCGATCAAGACTCAAGCCGATGAGACGGCTTGGTAACAACCAACAAGTTAATGAGGAGGACTTGGTGTCATGAGATGGTAGCGGTCTCAAGACGACAAGAGTGGGTAGTCATCATGCAGCCGAGGGTGCGATCAAGACTTCATCATGGAGGCTAAGGCAAATAACCTCAACCCCATCTAGTCATGACAGGGCGACAAGGCTTAACACCAACCCGGCCCAACATCGAGACCATCAAGTACCAACCAGCCCCAAGACGGGACGAGACCCCCAAGGCGACGGTTACCAACTAGTCACCAAGGCAGTGACAAGCGGCCCCTAAGGCGGTTGGAGCAAAAGGCCAGCTAGCAGTTACTATGACCGTTACCAAGGCAGTTACATCCAATGGCTATAAATAGGAGAAACGAAGACGGGAAAAGGGTTCCACAACCAAACATTTGGCGCACAATGTCAAAATTTATCTTTTCTCTGCAAATCAACTTTTAGTTTTTCGGAGCTCTCACTGAACCTCCATAGGAGTAGAGTAACTTAGATTGTTCCGGAAAACCATCAAAAACATCAAATACCCTCGTTCGAACATTGTTCGGAGAGGAGTGAACCGTGTTATTAATCGTTGTTCAAGACGTCAAGGTGCAAATCATTTAATTCAAACATCAGTTTTTCCTCGCCGGAAAACAAATTGGCACACCTGGTGGGACAACTGTGTGTTTGATTTGATGGCTCCTAGGAGAAAGAATCAAGAAAGTGATGCTCCGCCAGGGTTTGTGGAGGAGCAAGTGGCCAACATTGAGCATGGCCTGTTAGCTGAAGCGGTTTCCGGTAACAATGACGGCGGGGAAGCCTTGCCGTTGCCGGCACCAAGCTCAAACGTTGATGTAGTTGCTGCCATTGGGTCACTTCGCCAATTCATGGAGGAATCTTTGGCTGGCAACACTCATCAGGTAAATTCTCAACTTGATTGTCTTAATCCTGTGTAGATAGGCGGTTAAGTCAACTTTTTGAAATTGTAACTAAAAATAGGAATGATTTTGATGAGTTTAGGAGAATTTTGACCACACCAGTGGTACAATCACGAGCTTTGCCAATTGATGGGACAAGTTCAATTCCAAACAATGCAAAATTTTCTCCCGTCAGTGGCCAGAATGGCCAACTACGGCAAGATAACTTACCGCCGCCGGTGAGAACCCAACCAACCTCTCACCACGTGAATCGCGGCAAGATTCCCGCCACCACTCAAGTGGAGGCTTTAGTTAACGTGGGAGGTGGAGAACTACCTCCCCGTGGCGAACATTTTGCCACTGCGTTCAACACCCATGTTGAACAACCGCCATCCATCCCGGTGGCGAGACCCTACATAGCTCCTCCTAACATGGGTGGGGGAGGAAGGTTAGGTGTTGGGGATCAAGTTCCCCCACGTGCTTACCCAACACCCATACCACCCCAAGTCCATGGGCATGGTGTGGACCCCATGGGGTTCGTACCGCCAGGGGGGCATGATGCTAATACCCTAAGGGATCAGGTGGCTCAACTCCTTACCGAGCAATTTGGATTAGGAGTAAGGCCCACCATGCCACCTGTGTACAGTAAGACTTACCCGAAATGGGTAGATAGGCTATACCCATTCCCAAGAGGGTTTAGGGTGCCCGAGTTTGTCACCTTCATGGGTACTGGTGACCAGTCCACTGTTGAACATGTGGGACGGTTTACAGTCCAATGTGGAGACGTGGGAGACTTTGTCAAGCTGAGGCTTTTTGGCAACTCGTTGACAGGGCCTGCTTTTGCATGGTATGTTAACTTACCGTCTAACTCTGTCCAAACTTCGCAACAGATGGAAAAAAATTTCCATGCCCAGTTCTATAGATCTGAGCCCGAGGTCTCAATGGCAGACTTGGCACGCATGCGCCAACAGCCAGGGGAGTCGGTTGAGCATTTTTTGACTAACTTCAAGAATGCTCGTAACCATTGCTTTGTCAACTTGACAGAGAGGGAATTTGTCAAACTTGACAGGAAGAAATTCCAAGATAGAGATTTCTCGGACTTGTTCCAACTCATGTCTTGTGCTGTGAGATATGAGTCTCTTCTCCAAGAAGAGGAGAATAGGAGGAGTGCATCAAGGGGGAAATACTTCCCCACAATCAACTACCCTGTTAACCATGTTGGCCAAGAGGCCAATGAGGTGGAGGTAGATCTGGCTGAATTAGCCCCAGGGAAGCCATATGTATGTGCTTCTTTGGCTAAGGCTGAAAGTGAGCCACAAGGGGGCAGACCCAATAGGGCCCCTAACCAGCCACGCAAGTACTCCTTTGACGTCTCGTAAGCTGACTTGATTTTTGACCAACTCTACAAGGATGGTCAGATCAAGTTAACTGGGGGGCATAACATACCACCACCCGAGAAATTAAAAGGAAATAAGTATTGTAAGTGGCATAACAGCATTTCACATGCCACTGACTCATGTGTGATTTTTCGTAATATCTTGCAGGATGCTATTGAGAAGAGGCGTATCAAGTTCCCGTAGCCAAAGAAGGATGCCATGTTGGTGGATACTGACCCATTTCCCAACGTGGTAAGCATCAACATGGTTAACCCGGACCTCTCCAAAATTGAGTTGCCCCGTTTCAAGTTGGTGTTGGATACAACGCCGCCTCAACATGGGAGCTCCAATGTCACTCATGAACAAGGGAGCTCGTCAGGTACAAAGCAGGCTAGCCCGGCCGCAATGATGACAGATGAAATTGAGAAGTTGTGTGCTCAGTGCAAGAAGAGCCTCAAACTTAATGAGGCGAGGCCTTCCGCCCACCAAAGACTTGGCCCACCCAACAGGCCGAGGTACCCTTCTTATCAGAGAAAAGTAGAGGAGATTCCTACGTAAGAATGCCGCAGCACGGCAGGGGAGGTATCCAGTAATACTTGGTGCGAGGATCAGACCATCACAACACAATGATGTTGTTCCACCAAATATAGAGATGGACAACTCAGTGACTACCGGGCTCAAGGTGACAATGACTGACAAAGGGAAGCAGGTCCAAGTACAGGGTGATGTCAAAGTTCATGAAGGGGTTGAGGATGACTTCCAAGAAGGAGGTGAATATGAAGATGAATATGCTGAAGATGACATGCTAGAAGATGAGCATCCCAATCCCAAATTCGATAGAGGCAACAAGGATGATGAAGGGGATGACCAAGGACCCCCTTTGACAATCCAGTTTGGAAGTTTGCCGCCAGTGGTGGTCACAAACTACATACTATCTATGGTCTTCCAATTCAATGAGGAAGACCGGGATAGGTATGTGGAGGACGAAGAGGTAATAGAAGAGGCTGAAGATACAGACGGGTCCGTTGCTGAGTTAACCGAGGCATTTGCTCGTTTGGAAGCAAGTGATGAGCCATGGGGTGTTAGGATGGCTCGATTGGGAAGTAGAATTGATCTAGCTGCTGAGGTGGCAAGACA